ATGAAAGTGAGGGTCACATTCTTTTTAAATAAGATTTTTTTTAAAGACAAACTTTGAGATCATCCTGGTTCATGGAGTTGTTACAGAATTTCTTCCTTGGATCTTGGGATCAATGAGGAGTCATGTGTTACCTGCGGCAACCATATTTGGTAGTATTAATGTACTCTGTAATGACTCCAGTTTAAGATTCAAGATTTAGTAGAGCTTATTTCATTCTATTTGTATATCCACAATATTTGCAAGGTGAAAATGTACTTCTAGCAGCATCTTTGATGTAGACCCAATGCTAGTAAAGAAAAAAAAAAGCAGAAGGAAAATCTACATTGCTGTATTTTCAAGTCAGTGTTTTCTTCAGGTACTAGTACTGCCATTTTGGGAAGTTGTAGAGAATTTCCTCTGAGACTAAAATCTCCCATCCAGGCCACAGTGTGAGGACTGGAAAAGGAGAAGCAATCTATTGCAGTATCTAGTAAAAGTTAGCGACAATGATAGCTACATATTTATTTTGCTCTACAATTTCAAAGCATTTACTATGCATTGGATATATATATATATATATATATATATATATATATATATATATATATATTCAGTTATGGGGCTTGAACTCTGGGCCAGGGAGCTGTCCCTCAGCTCTTCAGCTCAAGGCTAGTGCTCTAGCACTTGAGCCATAGCACCACTTCTGGTTTTCTGGTAGTTTATTGGAGATGAGTCTCACGGAGTTTCCTGTCCCGACTGGCTTTGAACCTCAATCCTCAGATCTCTGCCTCCTGAGTAGCTAGGATTACAGGCGTGAGCCACTGGCTCCTGGTTATTCACCTTCTATTTTATTATACACATTTAGTTAAAAATTTAATTAAAAAATTCAAGAATGTTGTTTATTTGGTTTTAAGAAATCTAGTGCTTGCTCAAAATGTATTTGTGGTAGAAGTTAGGAATAACTGAAACAATAGCTGATACTAATAGTAAAAAAGAAAAACAAAAAACCCTAATCCATCAGTTAAACTCCAATTAACCAGATAATTAGGTAAACTTAGCATCCAATTTAGTTTAAACTATTTTCTAGTCTGTATTAGTTTGCTTTATTTTGAAATGACAATTGATCTTTCAAAAATGATTTCATATCTTGAATCGTCTGCATATCATTTTGGATAATTTTCATTTTATCTAACCAGAATATAGAAGTATAAGACATCTTGAAAATTGAATGTCAGATTATTTTAGTCATGTCATTTTGTTTTCTGAACTTTCCATGTGAAAGACAGAGAGGCATCATTTGGAGGAAGCTGACTTGGCAGTTCCAACAGTGATTGCTTGATGTTTCTTTCTGCATCACTGCAATTCTGAATAAGGACTCAGGGAAAGATGATCATGCTGGTATCCCTCTACCCCACCCCTCCACACACTGGAATTGAATGCTCCTCCAGCTGTAAGAGATCACGGAAGTCTTAATCAGACCTGCAGTTCTTTCTTTGGTATGAATATTGTTGTTGTTTCTGCTGGTACAAATTTTTCATTTCTCCTGGATTGAGGTCTCTAAAATTTAATTTCTAAGGTTTCTTCATGAAATACTATTTATTTCAGAATGTGAGGAAACACTTTGATATTTTGTGTAATAGATCGGTGATCTTGGAAGTGAAAAGGGATATAATGAAGAGGAAGAAACACAGGCTTTGGAGTTGGCCCAGAGCTGATGTAACCTCCAGTCTAAATGGATGCTTGTGTTGCATGTAATATTTTTGTTTCTTTGTTTTTTTGGGTCCGGTCATGGGGCCTGAACTCTGGGCCTGGGCGCTGTCCCTCAGATCTTCAGGTCAAGGCTAGCACTCTACCACTTTAGCCACAGCACCACTTCCGGCTTTTTTCTTTTTGCGTATGTGGTGCTGAGGAATCGAACCCAGGTCCTCATGCATGCAAGGCAAGTGCTCTACCACTGAGCCACCTTCCCAGCCCCTGCATGTAATATTTGGAGCTCCGCTGTGCCTCAGTTTTTTCACTTGTGAAACTAGGATGTCAATAAAGAACATAAGTATGTAGAATAACTTACTCAGAGAGTAATTGGCTAGCCTAAAGGTTAGGTGTTTGTTTAGTTTACTCACTTTCTAAAAAGCCTTGGAATAATATAATAATCTACCCACTTAAATGATATGAGTGAAATGCTTAAAATAGGAAAAATCTCTCATTTTGTTATCTGACTACCAGCCCTTTAAAATTATGTTCTTTTAGTGGCAAATTGATTCTTCATAAATCCTGTCATGTTAGATGAATTTATACCCTGTAGCAATTCAGCCTCAGAAAAATGTCTTCCTTCTTTAATTTCCCCGGAAATAATCGATCATATTGAGAAATGAACTAGTCAACGCCATTGTTATTAAAATATATCTCTTAAGAGTAAGGTATGTTGGAACATGCTTGTAATCCTTACTGTCAGGGTGTTGTGGCAACAGGATCAAGACTAGCCTTGAATATAGCTAGTCTCTATCTCCAATATTTATGCATGTGTACATATATAATCTATGTATGTATATTATATATAATATATGTATATAATCTATGTATATGATCTATATCCCTCAGTTTACATCTATCCATCCCATGGGAAAGATAGTCTCTTTATAGTCACTTATAAAACCATTTGTACATATCCTTAACTAATCTAATTTTGAGAAGACCCAAGGCAAAGTATAAACTGGTATTTACCTTTTAGTTATGATTACTTATTTCATTTTCACCATTCTTACATATATATATATATATATTTGTCTCTTGAAATTTTTATATAGTATACTGGCATAGATAGATACCATCACATAACATCAACCAAGAAACACACTTCATTTGTATGTATGAGTTGTGGAATTTGTTCTTTTTATTAATTTTATTATCTACAGAATAGTTTTTATTATGTTGAGTGATGAACTTCTTAATTTTCATTATAACCTTTAGAAAAAGGGAAATGTTCTGGTTTGCATTTTGCATTTGAGATTCTGAGAAACCCTACAACTTGCCCAAGGTTATAGTAGTTACAATCAGGTAGTAGTAGGATCCATGCTTTAACATAATGCCTGTCTAAGTAGATGCAAACCACTCTCTACTTTCCTTCCCATCTTCCTTTGTGAGGATTCATCTCTATTCTTGATACAAGCTGGACCTGTGTGTGTGTGTATCCCTTCCCTATATTGTTAATATGAAGCACTTAGAATTTAAAGACATTTGAGCAGTGGAATTAATCTGTTTCCTCTGATTTCCTCTTTGAAGTAAGCAGAGTTAGGATAACTTCTAATGGACACTATCATTATTGAGGTGCCTGAAGTCAGAGAAGTGTCAAGTCTTTCCTGGCCTGGCCCACAGTGAGTCTGCCCCATTCTTTTTATTTTTCTATTTGAAATAAAAGAATGAGACACCAAAAAGTTAAATGGCATCCAATGGTCATGTACCCAGAACAACAGTCTACGTCCTCTGATGGAGGCTTCTCAGTGGAAAGCAGAATTTGGATACCGCAGCAAGAACATAGACAAAGCACTGACAGTTTAATGTTGCTTTGCTCCCTCAATTCTGTCTTTGTATCAAGAATTTTCTGGCCTTCTGTTGCCATCAACAATGCCTTCTGTGATGAGTACAGGAGCTTTACCAGAAGTTGGTGAAGGAAATTTTTCTCCAAGTTAGGAAGGCTCCTAATTTGAATATTAAGTGATTCCATTTACTTAGGGGTCTATTAACATGACATGAGAATTAGAGTAAAAGCTGATATTATAGCTGTCATTATGTATCTAACCTATAAGGCTTAATATTAGTCATAATTTCTTTTTCCTCTGTATTTGTATGTCAATTCGTATCAAAGATTTAGATTTACCATAAGCCTTCCAGGTCACATAATAATATTGTGCCACCATTGTTATGATCCTGGTGTCTGGAACATTTTTTTCAGCATTGCATTTGCAGGTATAGACCTTTCCAATAAGTGTTTGTTGAAGGAACAACAACAATGATAAACATAGAAATATATGCATAGATGACACTAAGACAAAGGTGGTATTGGATACTATGTGAATGTTCTAAAACATGGAGCCTGACATAAATTTGTTTGTTAAAATTTGTTTCTCTTTGGCACCTAAGATTTAGTTGGAGATAGTATTGCTTTATACATTGTGAATAAATCCAGTAGTTGACATATTTATGTTATGTGGATGAGAAAAGAACCACCAGAATAAGAAACGAGCATATCATTTAAAAATTTTATATCTTAGAAGAAGAAAGATTTGTTAACTCATTAAGCCAAGCAGTCCACATGAGAAATAGAGTTAGTAGAGAAAGGGTGTCCCAAAATAGGTGAGCAGAAGGCAGACTCATTGCAAATCTTCAGAAAGCAGTGATCTTGACAGGGCTGAACACATGGTGGACAGAGCAGCTGTGTATCCTCCTGTTACAGCAGGAAGGCTAAGGTAGGCCATGAGAATCTGTGCTGAACACTCAAAGATGCTTGTTCCTGTGCTGGGCAGGCTGGGTCCTCTGTGAGACCCTGGTGAGGTTTTCATCTAGGGTGACTCCAGTTCCCAAAAGAGATCCACAGACTGAGAAAACATGGAGAAGAAAAGGCTAAATGTTGAAGACACAGGCGGAACAGACATACAAGAACAGATGCTCATTTTAAGCAATGGATGGGAAGTAGTAAGATCATTCAGGTAGGCCCATACAATCATAACGAGGATTTTGTTGATGAAAATAAGAAACTAAACTGAATGAGTATCCCAGGATAACCCATAAGGTTGTCTCCATTGGTTCAACTCAAGGTGGATTCAAAGCGCAAATACGGAGCAATGTTATACTATGAATGATATCGTATACAAGTTCTATAACTTAGCAGAATTCATTTTCTCAATTCATGTGTCTCAAAGCATACCGATTTCCACTAAAATAATAAATAAAACAAAGTGAACCAAACTTTAAAAACTATTAACAAATATATTTATTGTGGTGGCTTTCTCCCCTACTAGATAGGCCTTGCTAGAAAATAGTGTCCCTTTTAGTTCTGGGTGGACCATTAAGCAGGTAATAGAAGTTTTGTCCTCTCATTCAGAGAGAAAGGAAACACATGACTTTGCAAACATGGTATATTCTCCTCATTCTATTCTTTTGTTTTGTTTTGTTTATTAAAATCAGAGTTTCCTGTAGGAAGTACAATTTTGTTTTTGGAAGAAAGTTACAGGCATGTGTTTTAACAGACTTAGAGATTCCGATGGTAGTACAGGCTGAGCCACATAGTGCTGCCATAGTTTGGAGGAGACCCGTTCCAGGTGATTACAACCTTTCACCATTTTGGAAAGCACTACAGTCAACTCTATCTCTGTCATTTCTTCCACAATTTGCCTTCCACCAATCCCATAGAGTATATTGAATTCTTGTACACACATTTGGGTTCCTTGCAGAAAAATACTGGATGAGGACCAAAAAAAAAGTAACCTTAAAATAGTTGCTTCTGTGATGATAACTCTTTGGATTCCAAATGCCAGGCCCTATTTCTGAGCTCTCTCCAGATCCGGACAATGCCACACTGTCCTTGGAACAATGTTTCTCTCTCCTGATCTCTTACTTGTTTTGAAGGGATACTGCAGCTTTGAATTCGCAAAATTTTAGCTTTTGCTTCTTAAAAATGATAGCTTGGAAAAATATTTTTTATAGGGAAGAGATGTTTTCTTCTCTAGATGTCATCATTATGTGGGTGATCGCTTATAGCTTATTGATAATTATGTACAGAATTTCTTGTCTTTAAAGAATGTCTAGAAGCACATATGAAAGCCATTTGAAAGTATCCTTTCTTTTGAACTTTTGACTCTTTGTTGTTACTATGCTTGTATGAAGAATATAGCAACTATTTGGAAAGTTGTTTAGACAGAGCAGTAACTGATATGTTTTGTCCATTTGTGGTGCTAATGGCTAGAACACCTGTCCTGGGTATCTGGATGAATAGCAGCATTATGAGTCTACAATAATTTGATGGGACCCTCTAGTGCACAGTGCTGACGGATACCGATTTCTGTTGTTTGTCTTGGACTTTTCGTTTCTTCTGCTGCTGTTTGTCTTTGTTTTCTTGTTGTTCTGGGGTTTCTCTGCTAGATTCCAGGCCTTTGTTGTCAGGGATTGCTTCCTTACTATCTTCTTTATTCAATTTTTTTCTTTTTCTCTCTCTTCCTTTCTTCCCTGAAATGAAAGAACAACTCTTTGAAAAATCACATTCAATGATACTTTACTTGGTTGTCTGAATATCTTTTAAAATGATACAACTTTCTCCTAGGGTGCATATGGCACCCATAGATTCCAGGTATCCACTCCTTACATTACTCATTCAACCACTTTGTGTGAAGTCCATGTGATATTCTCAGGAATCTAAGTCTGATGTGTGTTTGTAATGTATGAAGAAACTAATACATGATAAACTTTCCTAGTGAGTTCTATTTCTATAAATATTTAATCTGCTAGTAATTTATGCATTTTAAATGTAAAATTCAATGTTTACTTATGACTTAAAATACTAATGAAATTTTATCTGGCTCATATTTAAGTCATAATTTTGTATTCAAATTTTTCCCACATAGTGTTTATATATGTGCAATCCAGTAAGATGTTTACAGGTTATCAAGTAGAAAAGAACTGACTTGCATACAAATATGGAAATCATATTTCATGACAGATAGTAGGATAATTGAACTTTATTTTTATTTTATTTTATTTTATTTTATATTTTGTGCTGCTCCTGGGGCATGAATTCAGGCCTGGGCTTTATCCCTGAGCTTTTCTATTCTCAAGGCTCTACTACTTGAGCCACATTTCCACTTGTGACTTTTTTGGTGGTTAATAGGAAGTAAAAGTCTCACGACTTTCCTGCCTAGGCTGGCTTCAAACCGACAACCTCAAACCTCAGCTTCCTGAGTAGCTAGGATTATAGGTGTGAATTACCAGCTCCTGAAAACGGAATTCTATCTTAGCACAAATATTTGCTTGCTGAAAATAATTTTCATTGCAGTTTCTCTATATGTAGCATAGTTCAGTATAATTTACTATATCCCTATGGTATAAACTACAAAGATAAGGGTTTTGTTGGTGGCGGCAGATTGATGGTGATGGTGGTGGTGGTACTGGGGCTTGAACTCAGGGCTTTGCACTTACTGGGCAAGTAATTTACTACTTGAGCAATACCTGTGGCCTTTTTGTCTTTTTTTTTTTTTAGTAATTATTTTAGATAGGGATCTTGTATTCTTGCTGTTGCACTTCAATTCTACCTGTGATACCTGAGTAGCTCTCATCACAGGTATGGGCTACTACACCCAGCTTATTGAGATGGTATTTTACCTGGATGGTATTTTACCTGAAGCCCTCCTAATCTCTACCCTTTAAGTTGGTGGCATTTCAGATATGCCCCACTAAATACAGCTGTTTTAAATCAGTGAAATAACCATTTCATGAATGTGTATTAGATTTCATACAGGCTCTTCACCTTACATTGGTTTTGTGATATAGGCTTAGTTCAGATTTCATACTGTAAGGTAATTTTACAGTTAAAATCAATTAATCAATCAATGGTTTTGATGTTTTGATATGGAAAACAAATAGTAGGCAACATGGAGTCAGGAAGAAGATCTAAATTTTATTCTGTTAAATTCTGTTACAGAATTTGAAATAAAGAGGGAATTTGATTAAGATATATGAGTTGGATACCAAATTGGATATATTGTTTTTCTTTCTAAATATTGAATTAACTAAATATTTTGTTATATAAACTAATTACCTATATAGTTGATATTTTCTGAGGGCACTATTTCAATAACATTCATTCACATATAGTTTCCAAAGAGAAATTACTTATATTCAAATCAGTATCATAGTAAATGGAATATAAGAACCAACTAGGACCATATCTGAACATAGACCCTACTGAACCATGAAAAAATTAAAAGTAGTCACTGTCTACAATAAGTCACTTTGGGCAAAACATTTTGGAAAAATTATTTTCATGAGGGAACCGAAATATTTTCATATCCTGAAACAGGCTGCAAATATTGAATTTAGTGGTTTGGCTCTTCTTTCCTTGATCTCTGGTTACAGAATCCTAGGGAGTTGAATTATTAATATTGTATACATATCCTAGGCCAATATACCCTCCTTGGATTAATAATTTTATGCTACATGAAACTATGTTTATGAAACCTTCCAATTACTTTATAAAAACTTGCCTTGTTGGGCTCAAAACACATCTCCAATGTCAGAACCCTCAAAGAACAGTTAACCAAAAATAAGAATTAAGACCATGGTGGGCAAATATGAAATTATTTGAGCTATCTAGCAATGAATAAAAATATTAGCATTAAATATTTTTTCTACTGAACTGTTTATCTATTGACTTGTTAGTTCCATGATTCTTTATGTTTCAAAGAGTATTTTTCTCAGCCGGGCACTGGTGGCTCACGCCTGTAATCCTAGCTACTCAGGAGGCTGAAATCTAGGGATCGTGGTTCAAAGCAGCCCAGGCAGGAAAGTCCGTGAAACTCTTTATCTCCAATAAACTACCAGAAAACTGGAAGTGGTGATGTAGCTCAAGTGGTAGAGGGTTAGCCTTGAGCTGAAGAGCTGAGGGACAGCGCTTAGGCCCAGAGATCAAGCCCCACTACCAACAGCAACAACAACAAAAAAAGAGTATTTGTCTCTTGTAACATTCCTATCGACAGAATCATGCTGGGTTTAGTGATTTGAAGAGCAGACTTGAATGTGGTAACTAAAAAAACTGAGGAACAGATTTGCCATCCTGACTATGTAAATTTAAACTGTTAGGGCTGCACAGGCTGGGTTATATAAAAAATTCAGATTTTCATAGAACGTGTTTGTTTTACCAAGGAAGATGGCTGCAAAGACTGGGTTATATAATAGTTCCATTTGGAGGAGCATTTTGGAGGTGTTCAAGTCTAAAAGAAATTGTCAATGAAAATCCTTCCAAAGTTCCATAAAACTTACTGACCCCAAGGAAAATGTTATTTTTATGGAAATCCTCCAGAAGTTCATTGTTTGACATTGTTCTCTTGATGACTGTCCAACATCCTACAGCTGTGATCTCAAACATAATGTCTCAGAAGCATATGAAATACATTGTCTCTTCCATGGTCACAGATGGATTTATATGTTTGTTAGCCACTTGTGACGACCTACTCAGCTTGCATAGCTTTTCTGTTTACTAGAAAAACTGATGCAATTATTTTTTAAAGACAGGCAGAGAATTTTTGGAAGTATCGTGAAACTCAGTATTAAAGCTTTATTACCAAGGAATATCTAGTCTGGGCGGTGAGTGGAAAGGGAGGCTCTGGTAAAGTAACAGGAAACTAGCACATTGTACATTGTTGCTGCCCAACCCAGGGCTATTGCACAATAGAAAAGTGGGATTATTATTTTTTTACAGGCCATGTGTTAGTGGTTGGAAAGGCTAACTACCCTTCTGCATAAATAATGTATTTTCCTCTTATCCAAGAAATAAAATAGAAGCACAGAAGAGTGGCTGCGGTCCATTAAAAATCATGTGCAGTTTGGGATACTTTTGTATTTAAAAAAAAAATTACAGTGGACTTCTTTTTTTATTCTTGTGGTGTGGTGACTTTTCACTGATGTGATTAATTGTTATTCTGTGACATTTATTTCTGTATTTCCCTTACAATTCTGCAATCTAAGCATTTCAGTTATGATAATCTGATGTGTGTGTGTGTGTGTGTGTGTATGTTTTGCCATTCACTGAATGTGCATGCGCTTATGTGTGCACATGCACAAATGTGCCATAGCTTGGTTCAGGCTTCTGGAACAATGAGCAAAATAAACTATTGTTTTAACTATGTTCAGTCTGGTATTTGGTTTATAGCGATAGTAAATGGAATAGAGCAGCCTTTGCGGAGCTGCCCTATGCTGTAAGATGGAAGAACAGCCTCTTTTAGGCCAGAAAACGACCGTGTTTCAATGATAAACCTGTGGCCAAATACTTTGACCTTTGGGGAGTAGTTGGTATTTCTGATATTTCCAGTAAGAAAGCTCATTACAAGCCAGGTACCAGTGGCTCATCCCTGTAACGCTAGCTGGGGCTGGGATCTGAGGATCACAGTTCAAAGCCAGATGGGACAGAGAAGTCTGTGGATCTCCAATTAATCACACAGAAAGCTGGATGGAGCGGTGGCGCAAATGTTAGAGCACTAGCTGTGAACAAGAGAAGCTTATGGATAGTGCCCAATCCCTGATTTCAAGCCTCAGGACCACCAGCACAGAAAGGAAGAAAGAAAGAAAAAAAGAAAGAAAGAAAGAAAAAAGGGAGGAAGGAAGGAAGAAAGGAAGGAAGGAAGGAAGGAGGAAGGAAGAAGGAAGAAAGAAAGAGAGGAAGGAAGGAAGGAAAGAAAAGAAAGGAAAAGAAAGGAACAAAGAGAAAAAGAAAGGAGGAAAGGAAAGAAAGAAAGGAGGAAAGGAAAGAAAGAAGGAAGGAAAGAAAAAAGTAAAGAAAAAAAGAAGGAAAGAAAAGAAAGGAAAGAAAGGGAAGACAGAAAGAAAGGAAGGAAGGAAAGAAAAGAAAAGAAAGAGAAAGAAAAAGGAAAGAAAGAAAGAAAAGAAGAAGGAAGGAAAGGGAGAGAGAGAAAAAAGGAAAGAGAAAAAAAGAAAAGGAAAGAGAGAAAGGAAAGGAAAGAAAGACCATTACTATTTGCTAAACTTTGTAAGGATTCAATGAGATATTTGAAGAACATTGAGTACAGTAATTATTTTACCACTGACTTATGTCAAACAGAAGACGAATGGAAACAAATATTTAGTCATTACATGATCATAAATTAAGCTCCTTCTCTACGATAAAAATATGCTAAAACCTATCGTTATGAGCAAGACATGGAGATCAAGACAATAATTATTGCCACATATTCTTGCTAAACTAATGACATGCACAAGATCCTTTTGGGAGCATGGGTGGTGGTGGGTAGAGAGGCTTTGAACACTCCAGGTGAGATGGTATTTGAGGTGAGCCAGAAGACTAAAAGTTTGCTACTGAGGGAATTGGTATGTAAATGGCATGAAGGCATGCAAGGACATGGTCACTTGGGGCAATGAAAGTACACTTCCTCAGTATAATCAGAGTCTATAAATAGGACATTACTAAGAGAGGCTGGAAAGATACAGGGGACTCCATTACC